CAAATATGACATAATTTACGTGCCGTGACCCTTTTTTTCCTGAAAAAATTACTTTTGAATTAAATTATATTTGTTTTAAAAAGAATAAGTATTCTGTTGATTCATCTTTTTATTGCCATGGCAATCGATGTGATGCAGTACTTAGCACAATAGATGTTAATAGTAATTGGTTACTTCATCCAGTCTTTGAATAAACTTAAGTCAATGGGAGTTATTTATAAAGAAATATGATAATAATTATGATTGTACATTGTTGTTACTTTGTATTGTCGGCTACTACGTTAGGCCCATGTAACTAATTCTAGCTTCTGAACATGCCAATTTATCCATTCTTTTTGAGTCACGTTTTGATCTTGTTAATTATTCACTTGTCAACCTTGTCTGTTTTTATATGATCGTGTGTGTGTGTATTGTTTACCTTATTCATCACATATATGTAACTTATTTTTGTATGACTATAAATATCGATTAACTCTTGATTAAATCGAGTTGGCTCACACGCCTTCTCCACTGCACATCATTTCGCTCCACCCTCTTCACTTTGTTTCTTCGATTGTTTGTCTCGATCAACAAGTGTACGAAATATACGTATTCAAACGTCTATTCTCGCATTTGACTTATTTTATTCCGTTATTCACTAATGTGATTTAAATCGATGATTATATACGAGAATAGCCAAGACGTATATTTTAACAACAATCGTTCATACGATCTAATTGGAATCACATCTCAGGCCACAAAACTGGTGAGCCCGTTGACAACATTGTCCGATCTAATTGACATCAAAATAAAGAGCCTCACTAAAACTTGTTGTATATTAATTATTATATACAAATCCCAAAGGATTAAAGCATACACTTGGTAGATTAAATGAAGTGCATAGTTATCATTCACAAGGAAATGTAGTTAATATTGACAATTGGGATTCGATTAATCCGTGTGGTCACATTCAGTTTATATGTAAAGATCACGTTCCATTTTTGTTATTGAATATACATGCTACTACATATTGATGGTTGCAGACTATACAACAAATTAGAAGTTACTTGCATTTGTAGAATTTTGGCCACTAAGGTTATGACATTCAAGTAATAGCAACTTATGAGAATACTGAATTGTAGTTTATTACTAATAATAGATGACAAATTTAGAGGTGATTTACATGATAATTCGCTTTCTTCCTGATTAAATTCATTGTTGATGATGTCCCAAATTTATGGAGTAGAATCTTCCTGATGGTTTCATTGAATCAATTTATCTAACAAAAGAGATCACTGTTCAGTTAATTTACGACCATTTATTAATAAAACGAAAAAAAGATGAACAAAGTTTAGAATGTGGACTGTTCAATTCCTAAGGATTGAATTTGAAGTACCGAGCCTGCTACGAAATTTCAAAGCATTCAGTTTGATCTTTTGTGAGAATTGAATACATAACTCCAAAAGTTGAGTATTTCAATTCATAAATTAAACCTCTACAATGAATTGGTAAATAAAGACGTTGGGATATACTTCTGTGCTACGATAATAATAATATAAAAAAACCAATCGGAAGTCCCATTCAAAAGGATGTAGAATCTATAATGATAAATCGTTCATTTAAAACTAAACGTCACCAACAGTGTAATGTAAAAGATGATGACAGAATAAATTTACGAAGATGATGAATCAATTTATTCAACCATTTTTGTGATGAATCTATTAGGTTAAATGATACGATTGACGTTCATTCATTTTTTGACCCAATTCATATTATTTCTCTCCTCTAAATCATTTGGTTTAATAATGAGCTGTCATTTTACGTATCAGTCTAGTTGCCTGTATATCATGTCTCAGTGTAAATTGGTTATGAATGTGTTAAGGAATTTCATTGACTGTGATAGATGTTGTGATGATACTTTAATTTATGGACGAACCAATCAGATTTAAGATAACAAGTATTGGATTTTAGCGCGAAATTCATACACTCATTTGGCTAAATACTATTTCGACATCATAACTGATATTAGGTCGTGATGAAAATACTAAATCTAGTCCCTAACCCTAGTTATCAACTGTAAATCATAATTATGATTCCTCACACTGCTTTATAACTCTCATTTAATCCTAGTTAGTAGGTGGACATATTCAAGGTCATTTTAACCTCATCCCAAGGTCGTCCGTAAATTAAAGTCTCGCTGGTTGTGTTTCAGGCACACTATGCGTGTTAGTTTACGGGTTTTCGCGCACATGTAACATATTGTCGTGGATTTTATGTTTCGTTATTTATCAGCTATTAACAGCCTTTTTTCCATCATACGTGACTTCTCGTAATCTTTGTGATTGGAAGATAGTATTTATTTCAATTTATAAGCAGTCTGACGTATTTTTTGCTCACCACCTAAGTAAACATGCAGTTGGCGTAATATGGTTATTTTTTAATAATACAAGGTCAAACAAGTCAAATCACCATTTTTCTAGTGAAAAATAGAAAACAGATTGACTTTTCATGAAAATAAGCCGTGAAAAGCATTATATATGGTTCACCTCCTTGATTATGGTGACAGCAAACATAGATGTTCGCAGTCGTTTATAAGATGTTATCAGAAAGAAGTAAGCATTAAACTAACTATGGATGTTATATAAATTGTTTGTATTTAGCCATAAAAGGTTATTTGCACTAAAGGTAGCATTGTTTGGTATTGAAGTGACATATTATTGTGTAACGTATCAGAGAAAAATTATGTGAGTAAGAATTGATGTTGATAGTCTTTTTTACCGGCTTTCTGAACGTATACAGGAACAGTGTATAACACCACATTAAATAGGCACAAAATCTTCATAAGTGAAACGATGGCTGTCTCTTCTGAGCATGGTGACAAAACCATGTCGTACTTAATATTGATTCATGATGTGTCTGTTATAGGGTTGACGAATAATTTTCAGTAAACGAAATGCACAGTCTCAGACGAAAATGTGAACAAACTTATGATGCATATTGTCGAGTAATATCTAAATGGTACTTACCAATTTTTCTTGCTAATACCAGATGTATGTACGAAATAATACAAGGGTTAGACACTGAATAAATTCCCAGTGCTTGTTACGACACAGACTTGAATAAAAAACAACTATTCATGAGTTAATTCATGAATTCCTACTGTATTACAGACTGACTCGTCCGAAGTAATTCATGCAGACAACGGGACGAAAAGTGAATGAGCAATGGAAGCAGAATCACAAGTTCCTTGTATTCATATCTCGTTTATGCCACATTAATGAATAACATTTTCTTCATAATTCAGACCACGCTTCTTTGTTGTGACGAAACTGATTTCAGCAATTTTTAAATAACATTGATTTGTGTGTTGTAAAGATTACCTATTAATTTTTATTAAAGGAAATAGAAATCTCTAATGGTTAGCGCTGTCTGCAAATAAGAGACTTATAGGTACATTCTGTAACCTGCTATTTGATGTACTTATTGAATGTGATACTTATAACTAGGTCTAATTCTTTATTTCACAACTGATTTGTTTGTTTTTCAGAATTGTATGAATCCAATAAAGTCGTCAAAGGTTTGTGATGTTTACGCCGGTCTACAACTTACAGAATTTGTTAAAAAACGGTTTACATGTTCACGTTAACTGTGTTCCGTATTGCCTAGTAACATTTTTATTCAACTAATGAATTAGTGAAATATAAATATAGCAACTACACTTATTGTCTTACTTTATAAACCGTGTCCGTCTTTATTAATAGTCGATATGACGCTAGAACAAATATAGATATAGAATAATATGAACTCCTTATAATCCATGGAGTGAACAACTAATAAGATGGATTATGTACTAATTCATTTCACTTTTAAAATTTAGTTGCCGATTTATTCCAGCACCCTGTCACTTATATCTGCTCACTTAATCCTCTGTAATTATGTGACCTCTTCAAATTGTAATAAGTTATTACGTGACCCAAGTTTTCAGTTCTTAAATCCACGGATCACTTATAGGCCATAAGATTTTCACACCACTTATCTGTCTGTGAACTCCAGTCCACTATTACACCACCCATTCTTAATGTGTTATTGACTGTAAAAACAAATGACCTTTGACCTTATATATATATATATATATATAGTCATTATTGATAACCCACGTCATTTCAATTATTCATATTAAGGTATGTCAACTGTTTCCCACATCACCGTTAAATCCTAATGCATATTTAGTTATAACGAATGCATACCATTGTTAATCAACATTTACCCTGGTTTCATTTTAATTCATAAGCGGAACTAATCACATGGAATTAAAATCTTAGCTACTGATACGATTTTAATTATAAACGTAATCCGACGAAGGTGAATATGATATGTGGGTGCCTAATCTGCAAGATTGTACGTGGATGTAGGGTTTCTGAATCATTCTTAATTATTACAAACAGTTACACATGAACGTCATTGCTATTTATTTCCATGAAACTAGGAATAAGATGAAAATTAAAATTATGACAGTTTATTGAATAATCATTGCTGCTAAAGCAGAAAATCAAGTTTACAAGTTGGTATTAAGAATTCTTAAGTAATAATTGTCCACCTTCTCAACTTCCGTTGCGAAACGTTCACCATACTTCTCAATGATGCGTTGCTTATGGATTCTTTGACTTCGTTGAATACTTATATACACTTCACTCCGTCGTGTTAATGCAGTTAATGTATAATTTTGGAAGTTCTGGGTATTATGTAACTTCCATCTGCTACAATACCTAAGAAGTTGATGAGCTATGCAGTTAGTATTTCATAATTGATATAGCTTACCTGTAAGATTTCGTCTTTTAACGTAGGCAAGTAGCATGTGACGGCAGGGATATCGGCACATCATAAACGTGCTACAATTGCATTGACAAATGCTTATATCAACTTCATAATGTTGTCCGCGATCAACCATAAACAACCAATCACCGCTTTCATATTCCACGTAGACAAAACGCAGTTGTTTAAGTTCGTATAACAATTTAGATCTAGCGAATGGGGTCAAAATGTTTAGCAGGGGTGTAAGACGCTGTGGAGCATTATATTTATAAGATCTTGCGGCTATCACTTGATCTTCGATAACTTCATCTGCTGACTCACAGTGAAGTATTACGGGCTTCAAGTTCTCTTTTTCTTCTGACGATAATCTCCTTGTCAATGGATCACATACCATCCATGAACTACTACATGGATGATTGTGGAGCATGTTGTAGGATTTGATGACATATCCTTGCTCCTCTAGTCTTACACGAAATTTAGATCGACAATTACGGAATTTAGACCTTCAACATCAGATATTAGTTAAAGATCTTACGATTTTTGCCTCACTTTCAAACCTTCCGATTTCCTCTTATGACCAAACGTACAATTAAACGATACAAACAGGTATTTGAACCTGACATCCTTCAGCAATCTGCTTTCTGTGTGGATGTAACGAGTATAAGTAGTCTGAGAAGCGATAAAATTATAATTCCATACTTTTTGGAACTCTTTTAAGGCGCTTTCAAAATCATCCCAGGAGACGAAACGCTTGTTCAGTATCATACTTCGAAAGGCATCGGTTAGGTCGACTGAAATGTCACTTGAGCATGTAGCACTAAAACAGAAATGACTAATTATTAAAAGGTTATTCCTTGCGACAATAATAACCCAAGAAAATACTACAAATACTTAGGATTTACCTGTGACTTGACATTTCGTTGAGCTTTACTACAGTTGTTGGGATCAAAGATCAAATTACAAAGCAACAACAGAGCCAACGTGTACACTACAAAACAGAGAACGCTAAATTAATGGTTTTGGTATTTATTTCGTGCTTTTTTATGTAGCATAACATGACTTATATATGAAAAAACTTGGTACTCATGCAATCCAACCAACCCACGGCAATTGAAATACGGAATGACCGCCTCTAGTCAAGCCGTTCAAGGTCGTTGAAACGAAAGGGCGGGCACATTTCAAAAGGACCTAACGTTTAAACCTTGCCTGTGTTTCATTTTGTCAGCTGATTGGCATTATAATGACCTTGATCACATGCTTTTGTATATATACACATTAAAATGAACATGAAAAAGGTCTTTTTTGTATTGTAATAAGTTCTAAATTTCAGTTTTGGTATTAAATTTCCATTTTGTTATTCTGAATTGTTCTGTTAATTGTTTAATTGGATAAATACGACCATATGGCTAACAAAACAATTACATCCTAAAAAATATTATCCCCCTTTATCTGTCTTTGTTTTTGCTTCTACAACGTGAAGTTTAGTAAAAATTTCAACTGGATTATTTAGGAATTCAACTATATGGTTTATCAGTTCTCAGTTCATTTAAAAATAATTTCTATCATAGACTGATGTCATATGAGAAAATCACTGAACATAAAGGAATTTTGGCAAAAGATTTTCATGCAGTCTGAGACTATTCAACAATGTGTATTGTCCCCTTTTTATATGATTACACTTAAGACATTCAAACCAGGTACTTTAAACTTCAAATGGGTTTGAATATAACGTCGGTACTTTAGAAACTACTCCGATGAATATTTGTGTAATATTTTTTTAGAAATTATTTCTAAGATAAAGTCATTGAGCAGTTGTTAAAAAAATGAAGCTTGTCAATGTAGTTGAACAAGGGTACGATTGCCTAACAGTGACAATGAATGGTCATGCTATATAAAATACTCATGAACTAGATCAGTTCGTTGGATCCAACAAGGGTCAAAATTCTATTTAGATTATTGGTTTCATTATATCTTATGGTATAAAATAACAATGTTAAATGTTTGGAAACAATTAACTTGATGCATTTGTAGTGACCTACTTTTATCATGAGAACGCGATTGGTTTAATGGAAACAATTATTATTATAACCAATTGTACCAGTGATTGTTTTACTGTACTTGTTTGTTTAACTGTACTAAAGACATCCATTATCCTTCCATTCTTCCTTGCGTTGATTGTGACCTTTCACGAACTTACGTTTGCTCAGTGAATCCGCTTATACTCCTTTGGCACGATCTCGGTATTCTTTCGATACCACGAGATCACCAACAAATATCCTTCTCTACAACATCCAATTGCCTTCTGATATCTGGTACGTAGCCTTCTTGTAGTGGTGATCATAGGCAACCACGACTCGACGCTACGCTACACATTCTATTCAGTTTTCACAGTTTTTGAGACTCGACAATAAAACCTACTTTTGAGATCTGATTTTTTACTAAGTAACGAAAAGGTTAAACCAGTTACCAGTGAGCTATTCAAATCATGACCAGATGAAGTATTACTGTGACGAATATAACTTATGCAGATATATCTTTACAATCGTTCACGATACGTAATCATATTTTAAGAAGTAATCATTTAGTATATCTGTTGATCATAGACCTTAATGTTTACTCAGTAAATGGTCCATCAGATAAATCATATAAAAATTAGTATGTTCGGATATTTGTTGTGATTTATTTAGAATGTTCAATAAGCCCTCATTCACTGTTTTTATTTCTTACCTGTATTATTCAGTTGACGATTTCCTGTAGCAAGACATTTAAGTATGCCATAGATTAATCAAGGTACGCCTAAGAATTCTACACACATCTTAACTTTATTACAATCCTAGACGTTAATAATGTGATATTCGATATGTGAAAAGCTCCCTGTAAAACACCGGATTAGGCACACGATTTTTGAAGTCACTTGAAACTATATTTAATCATCTAAAGACATTAGAAATTTGTTAAGAAACGTACTAGTTTCTATCAGTAAATATAATGTGATTAAAGAATGTGCTCGTAAAATACAGTAAAAAGAACGATTATTCATAACAGTTCTTAACTCATGTCTATGACAATATCTTCAACTTGTTAGTCCTGGGATTAAATCGACTTTGGTCTCAGTTTTCTGGAGATTTGCTTGACTGCCTATGCTGACAATTTGCATGGATGATTTTTTCGCTTAACCATCATTTAGACTGACAAGGTTCTGAAATGTCTTTTAAATGCGAAACTGATGAGAAAGCATACTAAAACCATCTATAAAAGATGAAGATAACCACAAGAAAACAATATTGGTCAGTGATTTGGTCAAAACTTACTATTTTGTGGTGCGTTAAATAACTCGAGATTTTAATACGATATAACCCGTGAGATAATGTAGTGAACGTTTAATACATATGCTGTGCAGTCAAATACTTCATTTTGTGGTTGTTTTATCTATAGCTTAGATTCCTGATATACTGAGTACACCTAGAGCACTCGAACGCTATAACCCTCATAAGTCTCAAATTAGAAAACAGAAGACAAGTGAAGCGAGCGCCATTCCAAACAGCAACAACCATGACACAAAACTGTCAGGTATTTATAGTTTCTATTAAAAACAAAATCATTGTAGTCGTCCAATCCACATACAGAGGTTAGCATTTGTATAATAGGAAAGCCACGCGTATGGATTCTGAAATATTCTCTCAAATGTTGATTGAATGGAATTTCTTCGGCTCTTTCTGAGCTTCTTGAGGCTACCTCGAGTTCATTTATGAGCCGTCCTCACACCTTCCATCTTTAAAGTCTGTTGAGTAAGACGTTTTCATCGGATCCACCTGAAAACTGTTTACCGCATTCCTCTCGCGGTTCATTACTCCTGAAGGTTGTGCAGATTTTCAATTCCGTCTTTTCTCTCTACTACATTCGTTCGTCTTAGGGTTTTTTTCTAGATGAGTTCGCATTGTGTGATCAATGTTCTGCCGTCCACTTGAATGTGAAATACTAACTCATAGATTATGCAAGTTAATACAAAAATCTTTCAACGTCGAAGAACTGCGATTAGTGTTTTCTACGCGCCCAATGTTGACACCAGAGCTAAAAGATGAATTACCTAGAATGACCAGCTACTTTCGTATTTATCAGTTCGACTGCTTCAGTGGAGCAAGTTATTTTGGTGGATGTTCTAGGAATTAACAGTCTCGTTCTCGTGGACGCTTCTCAGTTCGGCTAAACAAAGATTTGATGAAGAAAGTGAACGTCTAGATATCGGCCTATTTAGTACAAACTGGTCACAATGCCAGTATAAATCAATTCTTTTCAATTATTTATAGGGTCAATAAAATTTCGCCAAAGCTTGTCAGACCTAAAGTCCTACACCCCATTGCACAAGTAAGTAACTGTAGGATTATGATCTACTACGATATTAGTACTGCTCTAATAATAGACCTAATCCTAAATTTGTAGATTCGTCATGATATAACTGCCTAATCTATAAGATCTTACGTGGAAGTCACACCATCGACTACGCCAACTCACTGTATCGTATCAATTACCAATACATGATGAAGGACAAGGTTAAGTTAGAGAAGGAACAATATATTAAATATGAATAGAGACCACGCCTGCATGGCCGAGCCATGCCACTCGATCAACTCCAGTCCATTCAATTCATTCTCCGCGCCTTCTCCATTGTTAGGTATTTCCCCGAGTTAAATATTGAATATCTATTTTCTGAGTAGTCTCGTGTTCACAGCTTTGTAGATTGTGTGGCTATTGTCCAATGCCACTACACTACTCTCCCACCAGAATCAACGTGATGTTGGTTCGATACCAAATTGGATGGGATCGTCGCGCGCCGGAGGTTACCAAGGATAATAAAGATCCTCCGGGTATTGATAAGCTGAAAGATAAATCAAAAAGAAGGCAGTATCTGGTCGGGAAATACATGTAATAATTTTTAAAAAATCTGCTTTCATGCTTAACACACTTAAAATGACAATTTGGGTGAAGATTATTTGAGCTATAAAAAACGGGATTACAATAATAATAATAAAACGATGCGCGTTAATACCGTTGGTTAATAACTTAACGTATAGGTAGGAAGTATTGTGTGTTTAGAAATATTAAAGTAATCAATATTGTAGAAATGTTAATATTGGTATTAGTATTGGTTTAAATTATGAAATCGAATAATGATTATGCCGGTAAATTGCACATATGAGTTGATTTCCAATTGCATCTATATTAGTAGGCTAACTGAAAGAACAAAAGAATTAACGTGGAGAAGAATTCCAACTAGTGTTCCTGTTAGTTTGATACGGTTTATTTAGTTACGGGGAGATTTTCTCAACCTCATTTTTACTTGACCGTGATAGAACTTAGTAATACTACTAATACACATGAACGGTTATCAGAACAAAATTTAAATACATGAGTGATAATTATATGGAT